GACAATCTATTCCTTGAGGGCAGACATCAGTCTTTTACTTCTGTCTTTCACAGATTCTAGCTTGGTGGCTCTCACATAATAGCAGGTTCATAATCACTGAATGACATAAATATACAGTAATAAGATTAAGAGACACATGGATTGTTTCTGGTAATGAAAACTATATTTTAAAATGACTTGAAAATATAATTAACAGTCCTTAGTACTCATGAAATTTATAATTTATTTCAAGTGTTAATAACGGCAGGCTATTCTGCTCAACTCTGCACCTAATGAGCTGCAATCTAATAGTTCCTTTTAAAAGTATCTAATAAGTTCACTGAAAATTGAAGAATTTCTTTGAAATAACTACTGATTAGAAGTGACTACTGATTAGAAAACACTAAAGCTTGAAAGCACTTCACAAATATCCTCTCGCATAATATCAGTGAAAAGGAGCCTTTTTCTAAATTATTCATGAGGTTAACTTCAACATGTTAAAATCAAGTGTTTATAGAGATACACATTTAAATAGTGGAGCTCACAATTATTTTCAGTAACACAGAGAAACGTGTTTCTGTTCCTTAGGATTTTATAAGCTAAGTTAGATAGGATGACTAGAGAGTGAACAGAAAAAATGAAATGAATGAACAACAAATTTAATATTAGCTGTGGGGGCAAATGGGTTTACATACATAGACCTCCCAAATATAACATGCTGAAGATGAGTACTGAGGAATTCAAGTGTCACTTCACGAGAGAGAAGCGCACAGGGATAACAGAGATGGTGACCGACTGGACGAGCTGCGTTAAAAAGCACGCCCGTCTTTGGAATTTATATTTTAAGTGTGTACATTCACCCATTGGACACTAGGTGCTGGGGTAAAAAGGCAGGACCCATTCGTCCTCAAGGAGCCTATCACTCATTGAAAGAGGAAAGCATTAAATAAAGAACTATACACAGAGCTCTTTAAATGACAATTGCGGCCTTCAACTCCTAGGGCGCTCTGAGAGAAGGGGAGCGGTGAGGCACACTGGTTCAACACTCGGCTGGCAGCTGCCAAGCAGGAGTCGGAACCCACAGCGGCCACGTGGGCAACGGACATGGCAGCCTTGGAAGTCCCACGGGGCACTGTGACTCGG